AAGGGGGTACAAGAAAACTTTCTGGGGTAACTGAAAAGATCTATATCTTGATTTGAGTTGTGGTTAAATGTGTATATATGTTTACCACAACTGTTCAAGTTGTGCTCTTAAGATCTGTGCATTTTATTGTATGTAATTTTTACCTTAATTTTTTTTAAAAGGGAAAAAATTGAGAGATCTAAAACTCTGTAAGTCATTGGGCTCAAACAGTGCTTGTTTGGTAACAATATTAATTACTTCCATACATGGCACTTATATGTCGGCACCACTTCTAAGCACTTTGCATGTATTAGACTCACTTATTCCTTACAAGAACCCTATGAGGTAGAGTCCTATTTTTCATTCCTATTGCATCAGTGAAGAAAATGAAGCAGAGAAAGTTACTAACTTTCCAAAATCACACAGCTAGTCAGCAACAGAGGTGAGATCTGAATCCAAAGCTTTAAAAAACTATGCTATGCACTGAAACAGAATAGAACACAAACAGAATGCATTTTTCCTTCCCCACAGGTGACCTGCAGCTTGAATACCTCAAGGATTACACTACTGGTGGACCTGTAAGTACTTTGGAGACACTTAGCTTGGGCTGAGATCACCCAGGAGCAAGTTAGGGCAAAATTACTGTCAATGTGACACTCTCTGTATTACAAGGCAGGGCGATCTGCGGAAACCATGCTGCATATAAATGAAAGGTATGCTTATAATTTCTCCACCTTCATGTACCCTTGAATAACCAAGATTCACAGCATTATACTAACCTCTCTTGTTCTTGGGGAATGTACCTCTGGCAGATCAGAAAGGAGGATGTGCTATTAAGGGATGCTACACCTGGGAACTTGATCTTTGATTCTTATCTCACAGTATGCTTGGAAGATGGAAGAGTTTTGTACTGTTAATAGTTTCTTGTACCTGGTGAACAGGTAGGCAGAGAAGAGTGGTGTGAAGAGGGTATAAAAACATGTAAGACATGCCTTATTGAAAATGCAGAAAACAAAATACAAATCACCCCTCACTATTAGGTGAAATATTGTTAGGGAACAAGATATTTGCATAGTGCCAAAGTATCAGTCTCAGATTATTTACTAATTGCAAAGGGGAAAATGGACCATTACAATAGAGAGATGGGGCAATGTCTTTGTCTGTTTTGCAGTTGCTATAAAGGAATATCTGAGATTGGATAATTTATAAAGAAAAACTTATTTGGCTATAATTCTTTGGACTGGAAGATTGTGCAACTGGTGAAAGCTTCAGGCTGCTTCCACCACTGGTAAAAGATGAAGGGGAACCAGTGTGTGCAGAGATCATAGGGAGAGAGATGAAGCAAGAGAGAGAAGGGAGGTATCATTCTCTTTTTCATAACCAGCTCTCTCAGGAACTAATAGAGCAAGAACTCACTCATGCATACTCCCACCCCAGGGAGGGCATTAATCTGTATGTGAGGGGTCCACCCTCATGACCCAAACACTTCCCATGAGGCCCCAACTTCAACACTGGGATCAAATTTCAACAGGAGGTTTGAGGGAATGAACATTTCCTCAATGTGATCAAATTTGGCCACACGAATAGTAGGACAATCTGACGTGATACACTATGAACCAAACAACATCACCTCAAAGTATTACCAAAATGTTTTAACTTGAATATTCCAGGAAACATAGAGGATAGAGGAATAAGGTAAACACCACCATGAGGAAACAGTCAGTCATATCCAGATTGGAGACCATTCTACAATACAGTGGCTTTTCAAAAAATCTTTTCAAAAAGTCAGTACTATCTATAGCCACACCACTCTGAAAGTGCCTGATCTTATCTGATCTCAGAAACTAAGCAGGATTAGGCCTGGTTAGTACTTGGATGGGAGACAAAAAGTCGGTATCATTTAAAACAAGTGGGGTGACTGTTCTATGTTTTAAAAGGAGTAAAGAAAGGTGGCATTAGCAAAATGATGAAGTAGGCCACTTTAAGTTCTAGTCCTCCGCCTGAAAAAAACAAAGCAAAAAACAAAAAACAAAAAAACACACACAAAAAAACCCAGAAATGATCAGAACTAAAGAACCTATAATTTTAAAAAAAGTGTTGAGAATGGGGAGAAATTAGAACCCTGGAATGTAAAATGGTACAACTGCTATGGAAATGGTTTGTCAGCTTCTCAGAACGTTAATGCTAGAATTACCATTTGACCCAGTAATTTCACTCCTAGATATATACCAAAAGAACTGAAAACAGGGATTCAAACAGATATTTGTATGCCAGTATTCACTACAGCATTATTCACAATAATCAAAATATATAAACAACTCAAATGTCTATCTATGAATGGATAAACAAATTGTGGCTTATACATACAATGAGATATTAGTCAATCATAAAAAGATATGTTCTGATACATACTAAAACATGGATGAACCTTGAAAACATTATGCTAAGTGAGAGAAGCCAGATACAAAAGGATAAATATTGTATGATTACACTTATATGATATGAAATATTTAGAATAGGCAAATTCATAGAGACAGAAATGAGATTAGAGGTTAGTAGGATCAGGGAGGAAGGAATGAGTAGTTATTGCTTAAGGGGACAGGAATTTTTGTTTGGGGTATTGAAAAAGTTTTGGAAATATATCATGGTAATGTTGCACAACATTGTGCCACTGAACTGTATACTTGAAATGGTTAAAACAGCAAATTTTGTTACATATATTACAACAATAAATAGTAAAACATTTAAATATTTGTCAAGCATTTAATAATTAATACATTGTTATTTTTCTGAAAAGAGAGAGAGTGTAAAGATACATAACAACCAAATGTAATGTGCAATTCTTGGTTGGCTATTGCTTTTGAAATAAAAAGCCTAGAAGATATTCTTAAGACAAGTGTGGGAAATTAAATAGGAATGGGATATTAGATGTTCTAAGAAATTGTTAATTGTTAGGTGTAATAACGGTGCTGTGGTTACATAGGAAAATATTTATTCTTAGGAGATGCACGCTATAATGTTTAGGGGTAAAGTGTTGTAATGTCTGTAACTTACTTGCAAATGTGTATGTGTGTGCGCGTGTGTGTGCATGTCCTGGTACCCACACATGTGTAGAAAGGGAGAGGGAGAGAAAGCAGATGCAGTAAAATATTAACAATTGTCAAATCTAGGTAGAGGGCATGTAGATGTTCATTGCACTATTTTGTCATTTTTTTGTATGTTTAAACATTTTCATAATAATAAAAGTTAGAAACAAAAGTAACATTTTAAAAGTCAAACCACTCTAAGATTAAAATGTACAGACTTTAACAATGGTGCTTGAAGTGAAAAGTACACTTTTTACTATGGTTTTAACAATGTGCTATAGTCAATAATTTTCTAAGCAAGCAAATTTTCTGAATTACAATAAAGTAACAGAAATGGAATTTCACAACTTTTTTATTTTAGAAATTATTTTAGGCATTATATGTCAGAGAAAGAAATCCTGTTATTATTATAACAGAAATCCTGTTATTATGTTTTAATTTCTAAAAATTTCTGAAAATCAAATCATTAACTTTTCTGCTCTTGAGTCTCCTAATATGTAATAGATTTTAATGGTACATTAAATACATTATAATGGTAATCAGTCTCAATTTCTTTCTGGATGAATTTACATTTATAAGTAATAAATATAAATAATAGAATATTGTCACAATGGTGTTTAGAAACATGTTGAAGATGAGATAGCTGCATTGTAATGTCACTTGGATGCAACAGTCTTTCTTTTGTGAATTTCTGGGAACTTTTCTAAAAATAATTAGTAAATGAGGCATGCTGTAATAATAAACTCTACATATAAGAATTTTTATTTTAAAATCATTTTATGCATGCACTAGAATTTATTTTATGACATGTTGCTATTGAAATTACTATAATATTCTAGAATCTTCATTTTTCAATAAAAACCTGGTTAACCATTTAAAAAAAAAGTCAAACCACTCTACCTCCCCCCAAAATACTCCTATTAATATGCTGGTTTAAATCCTTTTAGCCTTTTCCCCCCATGCAGAAGAAAAAAGTATCCCTTTAAAATAACAGCACCATGAGATCAAATGTATATATCTGCTTCTTCAGTCAAGTAAGTCAACAAATGTTCATTTAAGTATATCCAACACAGGTCAGGTATAAAAATGAATATAGAAAGATCTCTTTGAGTTTTCCCTGAATGTACCATGAGAATTCAATATTCCTCATTTTTTTTCATCAACTATAGTTTTAAATACATGAAAAAATTGTGAACTTTTAGCAACTACATTATAATTTAGGGGCATCCTCATCATGAAATCCTCATCACGAAATATCATTCAGTCAAATTTAATAGCTGTTGTTGGTTTTAATTTTTGCTGTTCATTCACTTTACAAATATTTGCTGTCTACACCGTGCAGTGTCAGGTGCTATGGCAACAGAAATGTGCAAGATGCCAACTGTCTGCTCCTTTAAAGCTCACTCAGGCACAGGATCTTAAATGCATTACCTGCCCTGATCCAAAGGGGTTCGTGCAGAAGTGACGTTTAAATCGAGACTTGAAGGATCTTTAGGAGTCAGTCGCACTCATATAACTCTGGAGAGGAACATGGGCTGTGGCTTTAAACTACTCGGTGGTCAGTGACTTTGGGGCAAGTCGCTTGGCCTCTCTGTGCCTCAGAGATAATGTAAGGCTTAAATAATAGACATGAGGGCTTAGTTTCATGTCTGGCACAGTAACAGCTAAATTTATCAAGCACTTGTCATTGCTGCTATTTAAAAAGAGCTACAATGTGCTAGGGATAACGCAGGGGTCACAGCAAAAAAACAAGACATTCCAGTATCTGCCCTAGATATCCCACCTCCCCCAACTTTTTTTGTACTAAAATAAGTCTCTTCCAAATATAAACTATAGAAAATGTTCATTTCCTTAAAACATTTATGCTTTTTGTTTCTCCTTATTTTTGCCACCTTCACCTGAGTCTGGCCCTTAAGGATTTTACACTGCAGCGCGTAACACAGATACTTTGCAGTTTTATTCAAGGTCTTTTGTTTTCTGGTAAAGTTTCATTTCTCCTAGGGTTCCTTGTGCCACTTTGGAGGATACAACTGCAAGGAGCGCAGGCCTCCACACCAAATTGTTTTTAATAGATTCCTCAGCTGGGTCAGACCGAATCCCCTGGAGCCCCGCCCCGGCTAAGCGCACCCGCAAGTACGCCCCATCCTGATTGGCCCATCCTCCGCTCGCCAGCATCCCTGTATCCAATCGGTGTAGTGCTTGTTGAGCGGCGGTCGGCAACCGTGGTACACAGGGGCTTGAGCGTCCTGTGGAGAGAGTGGGCGGTCAGGCCATGAACTTGGGGTAAGCTGGCGCGAGGGAGATGGTCGTCAGTGGAGGTGGGGGTGGTGATTCTGAGTTGGACATTAGAGATTTTCGCGGGGAACCTTCTGTACCCTCTCCACCCCGAGGGGCAGAGCCCAGTTCCCTGAGGGAGAGAGAGAGGGGCGAGGGGAAGGGGCGGCCCTCATAGACCCCGCAGACCTCACCTTTTCACTTCGTAACTCTCGTTGAAACTGTGTGCGAACCCCTTCCCGTCTTCTTATCTACCTCAGCATGGGGAGGGAAGAGAGGCGTGGAGGAAAGGAGAGAAACGGTGAGGGCAGAGAAGCTTAGCGGCTTCCGGGGAAGGAATCCTGGCGCAGGCCCTGGTTCTTCGCCGCCCCGACTTGGAAGACTTGCGGAATGTGGAGCGCGCGGATGAACACAGGCTTCCCGAGGAGTCGGTGTGTTACCGGTGCCTCGCACCTGTAACGCTCGTTAACTAGTGGTTGAATAAGTAAAAAGGACTGTTGCGTGGTCTTCATCACTCTGATGAAGTGGTCTTCGTCACTCTGTTATTTTAAGAAGATGAAAAGCCACTAAACTCAGACTTAACTGCGCATCATTTAGTAAAAAATGTTTTAGAATCTGAGTTTATAGAAATAAGATAGTCTGGCCCTTAGGATTTTACAGTGCAATGCATAACAGCGATATTTTGCAGTTTTATTCAAGGTCTTTTGTGTTTTTGGTAAAGTTTCACGAACGTAAGCATAAACTGTTCACAACCTTGCAACAGAGAAACCCTTAAAACCTATTCTTTCCAGTGTTTTACCTTTAATAATTAAGGCAATTTGATTTCTCCTAAGCAACACTGAAGATTTCGCTTTCTTAATCAGACCATTTCCAACCTGTCTCCATGGACTGCACTGCTGGATGTAATTTTATATCTTGGACTTGACTGTTGTCCCCGTTAAGGTGTATTGACATACCCATGCCCGCCTTTTTTATTTCCTCTTTGTAAGACAGTGAATTACTGTATCGACTGCCATTTTTGTTTTGGCATAGATTTTATTTAGAACCCTAATAGACGTTCAAGTTTTGTTGGCAGTTGTAGTGTTACTTTATGCCCTTGCTCTTGACATGCACACATTAAGCATCATAGTAACTCAAGTTTATTGTAGATTTATAGTTGTGGTGGTAGCAAATGTGTCACTGAATGTGAATATGTATTGAAAATATTCAAAATTTGGAACTCCGCTCAAGCAGTTAATAACCTTGGTGGCATTATAGTCATTTTAAGATGCTCTAGCACTCCATAGACTATATTAGTCATGAATTCGTTATGAAACTAATAAATAGTGGTTAGTTATGTCTTGCTTCTTTAACTTAGCTGAGGGGTTTTGGTAACAGCATTATTTTTTCTAGGCTAGAGTTAAATGATGATATAATAACTGAAATAATTTATTGCTTACCAATAACAAAAATGAACTTGCAAGTTAAAGATGAACAAATTCTTGTATTATTGAAAGGTTTCAAGAATAATTTTCTCCCTGTAGGTATTAGTTTTAGCTTGGATTGAAAAACATTTTTATTTAAAAGACTAGTTTGATATGTACGAGATTACTTTATAAATTCAAAGGAATAGATTTGCTTTCAAGGTTCAGATGAACATTTTTGGCTATTTAAAATGTTAGTTTGTTAAAAGTGACAACTTTTTTTTATATTGCAGAGATGGTTTAAAGCTTGAAACTGAATTACTGGATGGAAAAACCAAGCTAATATTGTCTCCATATGGTATGCTGTGTTACTGGAAATCCAAAAAGTTAACTTAAAAAATTCATACATAAAATTTATATTAGCTTAACAGACTTTTTGCTTGTAATAGAGTGATATTTAAATGATACTTTGAAAACATTTGTTTCCTCAAACTTCTTAAAATTTACTTTTAGCCAAAGGAAAATCAGATTAATCATTGCTTATTGTCAGTATTCAGATTCGTAACATTTAATGTTCCAGTATATTTTATGTGAAGTATATCTGTTCATTATATTTGCATATAGCAAATATCCTTATTGCCTGATAAATATTATAGGTTCAATTTATGTCGTGTTTTTTGAAAGGCTGTTATTTGAGAAAATTTATAGTAAGACTACAGTGAAATGCTAGTAGTTTTCAGTATTAATTTTAAAACTGAGTATACTTTGGTAGTCATCTTCATTTTATTTTTTTCCTGATCTGTTTATAGTTTTACCTTGGAAAGATAATCAAAATAAACAAAAATGAAATAGAAATAAATAGCTGAACCACAGTGTAAAAGTTAAAACACTCAGCCAGGATCTAAACTTAATGCTTTTTGGGATAATATTGCTATCTTAACATCTTAAAATGAATACTAATTAAAATTTACTTTCATGACTGCCTTAGTATGTTTTTGGTTGATAGTTTAGTAATTTCTTTTTTCTTTTGTAGACCATAAATCAAAAATTTCTGTGAAGGTAAGCCAAATGACTTTGACCTGACCTATTTTCAAATGTAAAATGCAGTTTTCTTTACAGTGGTTAGAAAATAAAAAGTGTTCTAAGGGGTTTGGAATGATGGTGAGAAGTTACTGTTTTCTTGCTATCAGGCTGGTCCTTTCACAGAAATGGAATCATAATTTTCAGTTTAAAAAGCTGTATAGAACCCTTTTCTCTAGATCAGTGCTGTCCAGTAAAGCTTTCTGGGTTGATGGAAATGTTCTAAAATCAATATGGTAGCCACTAACCTTGTGTAGTTACTGAGCGCATGAAATGTGGCTAGTATAACTAAAGAATTGACTTTCTAATTTCATTTAATGTTTAAATTTAATAGCTATTGGACAGTGCAGCTCCAGAGATCTTTAAAAATAGATACTTAGACATTAGTGCAAAAATATTTTTTCTTTTCATATTCAAGTTCCGTTTGCCCCCACCAAAAGGTAAGTTTGATTCATAAATTCTAACATGCATTTAGCCGCTCTCCTTTAAAAGATGGCCCTTGAGCTTAAAGGTACTTTTCCATTTAAATTAATTTTTCTTTGTCAGGAATCCATTGTGTCTTTTTCTACAAAGTACATTACTATAATTTTTTTTTCTTTTTTTATACCCACTTTACAGATAATAAATTTTTGATACTGGTATTTTTCTTATTCCCTATTTCTTTTTCAGTTTGTAGATTAACATTGGCAGGAATTTCTCCTCTCCTCTTCCATAACTTTCCATAGCCCCTTTTTCTATTCATCATTGCAGTATCTTAAAGTCTTTGTCTGTGGATAGAACCTAGTTTGGATGATGTATCACTTTCCCCTTCAACTCTGAGCCTTTGATGGCTTTGTTATTTCTTTCAGCTCTAATGAGGGTGGAGAAGTTGTCTGAGCACCCAGAATGTCACTCAATAAATGGGTGATGATGATCAGAGCAATTCTACAAGCTACTTATAAGAATTATTCCTCTGTTTATATATAGTTATATACCTTAAGTGCTCCCTTATTCACAGAATACAGATTGTATATTATTTCTTAGCCTTTTCCTATTAAAATATTACAACTGAATGCTGTTATTTGAAACACATTAATGAATATAGTGCCCTTTTTCAAGCTTTTAGATGAAAAGCTACTTAAATGGTTGATTTCTATCTTCTGCAGGCCTTTATTCTCTTTCACATGTTCCCTCTTCCTGTTGATATCTGTAATGGATTTGCTGTAGTAGCCACTTTTGTGAAGACATTTCACTGTCTTTTTAACCAACTCAGAACATCTGGAAATCCCTTTATAGGCCTATAATGAACAAGTTACTAGTCTTAAACTTTTGTGTATTACTCTTGGACTTTGCATTACAAAATTCTGTCAACTCTCCAGGGGTACTTTATCCTAGGATTTTTTTTCCACAGTAACTAATATGTTCTCTGTTGATGTTAATCTTAAATTGTTTACTGTTTTAAATTGTGTTCATCCCTATTGCAGTTGGGACTCCAAAAAAAAAAAAAAAAAGTGATGCACCTAAGCCTTCCTATATTGATTGTTTTCAAGGAGTTCCTCTTCCTATATTTATAGAGGTTGCAGAGATCTTCCTCCTTCCTTTTTTGCTCTTCACAGAAGATAAAACACCAAAATCAGTAGTTCTTTGTTTTAACTGTTTTTTAATGTCTCAAATCCCACATTTCTGCAGTTATATGTTGACTTCTGTTTTCTATAAGTTATTTATGAACTTTTTTATAAGTTATTTTCTATAAGTTATTTATGAACTTTCTATAAGTTATATATGAATAAATAACTTATTTTCTATAAGTTATTTATGAAGCACTCTCTACGTAGTGCTTTTCTTTTTTCCTTTTCCTGGGGTAAGCTTCTGAGTGACTGCACCACCTACAGTTTTTGTATTTTCTCTATTCCCCACTGGTTGAATTATTGTCATCTCCACGGTGTGTTCTTTAAACATAGCCAAACTATATCTTATTTTCATCAAGTTTCACATGTGTGTGATCTTTTTTATAAAGTCTATTGAAATCTCCTGCATATTTTTCTTTAATCTGCTGAAATGAAATAAAGATGGTTACCAGTCTAATTTCTTAGGCTTATAGGAAGAGAAATGAAAGAAATACAAATGATTCAGGATTGTAAGTAATTTATAGAAATAATGGATTTTAAAACTCTTAAAATAGTCTCAAATATTAGTTGAAATATAAAACATTAAACATTTTTTATGGATATTTCTTCATGTGAGAATTAGTGACATACGAAAGGGTGTATGCAATATTAGTGCCAGGTAGCACATTTTATATTTAAAAATGTTACTTTGATTCCTTCTGGCATTGGAATCCTGGGATCCCATATAAATTGTGAAGTCAGCCATTATTAAACAAATGCATTGAACATTGTCTTTATGATATCGGTAAAGATATCATAATGTCTTTATGATATTGGTAAAATAAAGATATTATAATATAATATCTTTATGATATTGGTAAAATTAAAACTAGATAAAAAGAACAACATGGTATATGAAAGTGTTTTATGACATGAAGGCTCTGTTTGATCTATTAATTTTCATCTAATCCAGTAAACACTTGGGAAATGATTTGAGCTAGGTTGCTTTTTCTTATTTAGTAACCTGAACATGATTGAATCTTTATTTCATGGTTCGTGATTTTTTGCTGCCTTCGTTCATTGTTCCTCTCTGGCTTTAAGCTCTCTGTTTTCTAGAAGTAGGGGTATCATGGTCAGGTAAATAGTATAGGACAGATAAAATAAAATGAGTGTTGTAGTAGAGTTATAAAAAGGAGAAAACATTGGAAAGAGTAGCTCCTTCTGGTTTCAGGAGACCAGAACAAAATTCATAAATGAGGTGACGTTTTATTTTATTAATTTATATATTTATTTTAGAACCAAGAGATAAAAGCAAGAATGACATTTTAATTAGAATTTTAGGGCCGGGTGCGGTGGCTCACGCCTGTAATCCTAGCTCTCTGGGAGGCCGAGCCTGGCGGATCGTTTGAGTTCAGGAGTTCGAAACCAATCTGAGCAAGAGCGAGACCCCATCTCTACTATAAATAGAAAGAAATTAATTGGCCAACTAATATATACAGAAAAAAATTAGCCGGGCATGGTGGCGCATGCCTGTAGTCCCAGCTACTCGGGAGGCTGAGGCAGTAGGATTGCTTGAGCCCAGGAGTTTGAGGTTGCTGTGAGCTAGGCTGATGCCATGGCACTCACTCTAGCCTGGGCAACAAAGCAAGACTCTGTCTCAAAAAAAAAATAAATAAATAAATAAATAAATTTTAAAGGTGAGGGGGATATCAAAGAAGTAGTGAAGTGTATTCCAAGTATAGAGAAAGTAGTGAGCAAAAGATTAGATACAAAGCGTAAGTCGAATTTGGGGAATAGTGTGTACCTCGGGGGAAGCATGGAAC